CCAACTGGAAAACCGCCTATGACAACCTCAGAAGGGTCAGAGCACGCGCAGTGAGCCAAAAGGTGTGCTATTGTTGTGGTTCAAACCAACATCACCTGGCTATTTGTCCCAACACTGAGAAGAAGGACGAGTTGATGAACTCATTCTCTCACATGGAGGACACTATGCGCAAGTGCTTCACCGAGGACGACAAGGCAATCATCCGACGTGATGTTGAAAGCCGAAAGAGGAAAGCAAAGTCATCCAAAGACGTCGAAGACGAGGACTACATGGATGTGGATGATGAAGATATTGAACTTCCCGAAGAAGAGCCGGAACTAGGAGGTAAGGTACCACCTCACTCTCCGAGAGCCAAAGGTAGACCACAATCGTCAGACTCTGCAAAAGAGGAATACGCGAAAGCGGTCGAGGCAACCAAGAAGGCCTTTGGGAACGCCAGTTTCGTCACCAGATTCAAAGAGCCCGTCGACCTCTTTGACATTGCCGATGACAAAGAAGGAGGAGAGTACAGGGTCGCAAATCACAGGGTTGATAGATCAGGTCCTAATGGAAAGTGGGAACTTGATGCACTTATTCAGGAGGCTGCAGCACTCGGAATAAAGATGCCCAAAGTGAAGGACCTTGCTCCTGACCCACAACAAGTTCAAAAGGTTGGATATCGGCAGATTGAGGTGACTTGCGATAGAGGAAGCATCGAGATAATTCCACAGTATGGAGTTACATTCTATGTGGAGTACTGGAATGGACCGAAGAGAGATGCAACTTTCACGGATCCACCAAAGATGAACCCAGCAACTCGCATCGACAAGTTCAGCGAGGAGAGTCAGCGGGTCAACGAGGTTAGCCATAGACTCAATAGACTACTCAGGCATGGAGTGGGAAAGCATAATGGGATTCAATCGCACCGCGGTCGAAAACCTCATGTGTCCCCGAAGTGCAATGAGGGTGGATGGGTGAACATCGATGAGATCCTGGAATATGACCATGTCTTCAACGATGGTGTCGATATCAGTACTATCTCAGGTGATCGGCATCGTCAAGATGTCAAGACAGAGCGATACCAGTATTTATGCAAGGCGATGTGGCATGCAAAGAAGTTGCAGAACAGAGTACGCTATCAGATTGCCGCCATTCGTATCTCAAGGGAGGATGTCTCACTCGAAGAGGAAAGGCAATACTGGGCAAACCTCATGTACTACAGCACAGATGCACCGTCATTTCTGAAGCATGAACGTTGGATCGTTCCTTGTGCAATTCGAGCTGTTGCCTCTCACAATTCTGGAAGAGAGACTGTTCTTGAAGAGGATGTGTCAATATATCCTGTGTGGACTTCACATCTCATTCCAGAGAATGTGGCAATGCAGCTTGGAGGAAGCTTTCACATGACATCGCTTTCCAATATTGAGTCAATCATGAAACTAGGAATTGTCCCTGGTGGAACGGAGGGATATAGAGGTAGTGTCTTCTTCAACCACTTTGCGCCGTGGGATGATCGATCATCAAAGATTCTGAGATCAAGATGGCCAAGAGTGGGAATGCCCGTTTGCCTTTATGTTCCAATCATGACTTTGAGGAAGCTTGGGGGAAGAATTTCGGAGAATTCCTACACTGTTGTTTTTAGAGAAGTTCCATGGAGATGTGTACGAGGTGCTTGGTATTGGGACGACTACGTTCAGGCATGGAGGAGACTCCTGCTGGGAAGCACTGGAGAGCAAGTTGTTCTAGCGGCACGTCATGGACTTTGGGTTGCTCAGAAGCATACCATCCTCGAGAGAGCCGACGAAGTCACGAAGTCAGCCTCGGCGACAGATGACAACGTCCAAAAGCTCGTGTCCCTTATCGATGAAGTACAATTCGATGACAATGGAGAGCTGATCGAGGATTCCATCAGTGAGGAAACTTGGGACGAAATCATCTCCAGAACATGTGAAGGGTATCGCAACGTGGATGGCAATATTTTGTGTCCATCATGTATGCATTTGACTTCTTCATCTTTGTCCGTGTGTCTATCTTGTCAAGGCAGGCTACTCTCGTGTGGTATTCGCAACACTGTCATTTCCGATTCACCCGTTGATCTTGTGAGCGACGATGAAGAGGAAAAGAAGGAAAAGAAGGAGCCTGAAGATGATGATCAAGATATATTGGACCAGGCCACTATGGACGAGATCAGAAAGGCTTGGGAAGAAGACATCGCTCAAACTGAAGCAGCTGACGACGACGAGGACATGGACAATCTAGATCCTTCCAAACCGTCTGATGGTGCAGAAAACTTCAAGAGTGACAATGTCGAGACCCCATCTTTCAATGAGGACGAGATCGACTACGGTCGTGATTCTGATCTAGAAGATGAAGACGAACGAAATGTGATCATCGAGATCCAGAGGAGCACACAACAATATGAGGGGAAGAAACGTCAAGATGGTGAACCCGAGGATGAAGACATCACCGACGACTTACATCCGGAGGCGAATCGACCGACAGATCGTGATGAACCGGGATACTATGCACAGCATGGAGCGACCGAGTTCAATCCCGAAGAAGGAAGAGACAACGAAGATCTCCCCATCTATTGTCGAGTACCGGAACCTCGAATCTATGCGCATCAAGAGAGAGCCTACTGTCAGGACGTCTCCATGAATGCATCGGGTTTGATGGATAGGTATGTGGTCAAATGTGTGCTGAACATGATCTCCCTGATGTACAAGAGCTACTATTGCACCAGCCTTACCGACTTCAAAGCAAATTGGAAAAGGAAGCGACTGGATGTGATAAGCAAGTTCGGTACAGGGGATTCCACTGAAATCGATGACGATGGGAGACCATTGGATCCAACAGATGACATGATGTTAATCTTTGCCAACGACAACAATATTACGACTGAGGAGGCCTGGCACCGATTCAGAGGAGAGCAATTCATTTGCAAGGTGGCACTCGTGATCCTATCATTTGGTCATACTCCGCAATCCTTCAAGAAGGAATATGGCAACTTCGAACACTCCACCGACTTGACTGATGCCCAGCTTGAGGAGTTGAAAGCGAAGAAAGCCAGCGCAATGACTGAATTGGTACAGAAGTGCATCCATGCGATTTATGGGTGTCGGACATATTCTTACTTTAGAACCGACGTTACATCACCCTACCACAAGGTGATCGATCCTCTGGACATCATGTACTCGAGAATGAAGAGCAAGTGGGAGAAGTCTATTCTGTTGATCATTGATCAACATGAGATCAGGTTGCCCCCACAAGCTCAGGAAGTCATAGAGTCAATGGCCAGAAACCCCAACGTTGGACATACAGAGAGATGGATGAGCGTGGTAGAACATAAGCATGTTCAAGCTCTTACCAATCGTCTAGGCTTTGGAGATAGGGCCAAGGAGATTCAGGGCAAGAAGAAGCAGGCAGCCAAGGCGACAGCTAAGTCAACATCAACGACTAAGTCTGAAGCGAAAGCAGCATCTTCGTTAAGAGCTGAGGCAAAGCCAGCATCTACACCCAGAACCGAGGCCAAGCCGTCGTCAGCACCAAGTGAGGAGCCAAAACCTTCAACAGCACCTAAGAGTTTCGGGCCCTCATCAGCAGAGGAGAACAAGGCGAAGGCTGCTCCAAAAGCCAGACCACATGATAAATCACCATCCAGTGCTACCGATGTGTTTGAGCAAGCTTTGCAGGAAGATCTTGCCGCCAACGCACATGCAGCAGAAGGTACAACTTCTTCATCATCCCGTGGACATTCCAAAGGAGGAGGCCAATCTGGAACATCTTGGAGGCCGGCGCTAACGCAAGAACGTCGCGAAGTACCTCAACCTTCTGAAAAGGGGAAGGGAAAGAGCAAGTCCAAGGGAAAGTCCAAGAAGGGAGAAGATGATCGGTGGGATGCTCAGGGCAGCTGGAATCATCGTGGATGGAGAGGTTATCGCCAGTGGTGATTTCTTTGAACGACTATGAGGATACCATGCAAACCAGGGAGGAAGTCATTCACCGGATGTCTATCTGACCTGAAACGCTGTAAGTGTATCATTGCAAATCATCGGATTGACGATTTGATACCATGAGCATAATGGAAGGCAGACAGTCACCGACTGTCTCTCCGACTTGCCGTTCTGTAAGTGTATCCAAATCAAAACCTACATCTTTTGAGAAGTGTGAAGTCAGTTGCCGATGTGACATCTACGTGGAAGTCACCAGTTCGGATCTACATCGAAGCGATGCTCTTTTGAGTGGATACTGAGCGAGGCCTCGTGACTGTCTCACTTGTTCAATTCGATTTTCATAGGTTCTGAGCCATAGTTGCACCCTTTATATGTAAAAGTCCGCTTTAGTCCAGCATGTTTCGTAGTATGAGCCTCATATGAGTCTCGCGGCAAATCATACAATTTCTTTTGTAGCACTTACATCCCTAAATTTTCGTGTGTGATCGGAACATATTGTTGCCGTTCACATGGGGGGTGCGAATGGAAGTGCGGCGACGCGTATAGTGCAACTTGTACATATATATATACCATATGTACTTTGGCTCAAGGATCAAGCGACTAGAAAAGGTGCGGTTTCCGTTCCGACGCTACGCCGCTTATGGACCGTCAGTGATAGCTTCAAACTTCGCTGATTAAGATCCACTCGCACTTCTGATAGAGAGGGATTTACATTTATAATGATGGTCATTGCAGAGGGCTTTTGATGGAGAAGGCTTTGTGCAAAATCTGTCGTGTCATGTGGGGCACGCCGATGTTTGCACAAAGCCTCCGAGATGCGTATGCTTTCGCAGACAATGCCCAGCATCTCCTTACGTTTGGAAAATATATGAACATATTTAAAATCTAATGTCTAATTATGAAGTTTAGCCGTTTAGCTCCCGAAGGAACCAAAAGCTTCGACTGGGATGTGTTGATCGTGTGTTTGCTTCTTCAAGCCTGACAGTCTTGTTTCGACAGTCTTGTCGCATTCAACCGTGGCTTCAGAGTAGTTCAGAGTTGTCAATGAAATTGATACCCTTGAGTCAGGCCTTTGTTTTCACCGCTGGAAGCTTGTTGTGATGGTTAATGAAAGCGCCTGGCTATTGGCTTTATCAGCCTGTTGCTTTTGCTTGGCTTTAGCCTGCTGAGATTGCAGGAGACTCCCAGCTCCCTGGCCTTGTCAGTCACGTGATGTCACGTTGCTTCAGTATTACTCGACGTCGAACGGATGCCGCAACGGGCAATGGCCACCACGAGGGGTAAATCAATGGCATCTCGCCTCAAAGAATCACAGAGCAAATGTTGAGCCAATAGGTATCAATGTATGGTGCCTTGGAAGACCATGAAGACCCAAACTTGGAAGAAGCTGAAAGCAGTGAGAAGAAAGTGGAGACAGCACTCGTGTGAGACCCAGTTCACCCCCGTGTGTGACCCGGAGTTGCCTAACGACGCTTAAAGACTTATGGCTTTTGTCAGAGTCGACCACTCGATCATCTCTGAGGCTCGGACGCTGCAGAACAGCTGAACCAGCTGAGCAACAAAATGATTTATAAAGAAGTGACTTCGCAGCTGCAGGACATCGCAGTGACTTCGCAGCCTCGAATAATCTGGCACAACAGCACAGAATAATGAAAGCCTTGGTGCGCACACCCTCGGGTTCTTCCGCACACCGGAGTTCATGCAAGACATGCTACAAAAACAGAAGACACACACAATGGTTGCAGATCCGAGGTTCGTTTTGTGGTCACAGATCCCATGGGTCATGGCATTGACCATGATTGACCTATGAAATGGAGCAAACACCATGCCGGATCAATCCGACTTGCAGGGATTGGTGCTTCTGGTGGGTGGGGATCTGCACCGCCTCAATGTTTCACCCCAGGGATGGCGCCATGGTGGACCCAACAAAACCTCGAAAGGTGAAGCGAAGCGCTTGGGGATCCAGACTTTTGACTTCTTGGATTTCATGTTTGAAAGAAGAAGCGGTTGTAAGCTACACTATGCTAGACTGTTGTAAGAAAGTAAAGACGGTAATTAGGTTACTGTAAGACTGTTGTAAGAACCTGTAAGAATTTGTATCCAAAGTCCAAAATCAGACTGGAAGGGAAGGCAAGGTCCAAAGTCGCATGTCAAACAGCTGCCAAGCTCAAAGAATTCGGTGCATTCCACAGCCGTGGCGCTGATGGCCCAGCATCCGCCTCCATCTCCGCTTGCGTGGCCACCGGTGGGGAAGGCGTTGATGCATTGTTTCAAGTCGAGCCGCGAAATGGAATGTTGACTCTGAAGAAGTGGTTGAGTGGTTCACAAAGAAGTGCTTTGAAAGAGGTGGCCTTTGCTTGTCCAGAGTTTCCAGCGGCTCAAGTTTTGAGCGATTTCACTAGCTTCCAAACTCTTTGTCTTGGGGCCATTCTGCCTCATTTGCTCCGTCGCCGGCGCTTTTTTAAAGCCTGCTCACCATCATGCGACACTTCTGGTAGATCGTGCGGCCACCGTTGTGCGCAGCTCGCACGGTGTAGCGTCACAAGCTCGCAGCTTGCAGAGGAGTTCCCAATCTTCAATCCGTTGGCTTTGAGACCGGGTCACCAAACATCTAATTTTACAGGTGTTGATTTTTTGTGTCAAGATTTGATCAGGTCTTGTGGAGAGTAAATTGTGGAAAATCCAATGCCCACTGAAACCTTGTGCTGTGGTTGTGGTATGCTCCCCTTATTTGTATCAATCAGAATCTGGATTTGGTTGTGCAAAAGTGATGACGAGCAAAACATTGAAACCCCTTCTTGTCGAAATGACCTGATGTGGTCCGCTTCGTCAAATAAAGAAATAAAGAAATCTTGAAGCTTCAGAGCTGCCGATTGGGCTTGGACGAAGGCCGCTGTTTGGGCCAGAAATATCCGGATGTCGAAACATACTAAAAATAAAAGATAATCTATTACAAAAATATATAATAATTAATTAATCTATAGTAATAGTAGTAATAATGATAACAATAGTTATTTATATTTATATATTAAGTATGTTTATTGTTTTGAATTATAAATTTTGATATATTATATATATATATAAAGGATTTTGTTGTGTTTGGAATGTATTTAATCGTATCGTCGTTTTTTGTTTATTTTTTGAGCATTATTTTTTGTAGAATTAGAATTTGATTTTAAATTTAAACGATATGTAAATATATAATTTTTTTTTTCTTTTATGTCGGGCATGAGATTTGGGAGTTGATCGAAAACCCCGTGTAAGGAGTTTTATATAAAACAGCCTTTTAGATGTTATTAGAATCATCCGTGAAAGATTCGCGATGAGGTTCGCGAAAATATCTTTTTTTTTTTTTTTTTTTTTTTTTCCGCGAAAGATTTATCGAAGGTCATCGCTTTTATTGTTTTTCTTTCTACCGGACTGACAAAGAATAGAAACGTAAGGCAATCCTCCGGTAGAGCTAGTGGGCGGAAGTGTCCCCATATGTCACAGACTAACGAATTGAAGCCTTAACATTTCCGTGCCGAGCCCTGGCAGTGCGTAAAGGATTTTCCGATTCCTGTTCCTACTGTCCCAGACTAGCAATCTGGGTAGGCATAGCCCTGACAGTGAGGTAACGACTTGCAGTTGCTCTGACGGGCTGCGTAGATGTTTGCAAATGTTACGGGTTCCCGGGGAAAGCGCCAGTGAAATTTCGCGAATGTGCCGCTAAAGTCTAGGTTCCTAGCTTGAGGCCCCCTAACATTCCCCAAGCTGTATTACCTTGTGTTGGTAGCTGGCACGAGGATTGGGTTGAGTTGTGCCTGACTCTATTTGGCACAATTGTCGAACAGATGCTGCAAGTGACCCTGAGTAGCTGTGGAAACGTTCAACCATCTACTGGGGGTCATGCTGCAAGATGTCTCTACCTATTTTGTGATACTATGACATGTTCCGGCTCATGTTGGCTAGACATGGTTGTAGGACTATGCTTCGCGATGAGGCCGCGAAAGATCCGCGAAAGATATCTTTTTTTCCGCGATGAATGGTCATTCCAGGATGAAAGAATATTGATTAATCACCATTTATTTTATTTATCGTAGGTATGGACGAAAATTAATTTACGATTTCTTTTTTTATAGATATATGGCGAAAAATTATATGGTAGGGGTCTCGTTAGATTTCGTTTCGTGTCGGAATAGGTATAATCGCCCCAAGAGGTTATTTATTCGGAAATATTTTAAATTATTAGATATCGAAATGATTATTGATAAATATTAAATGTAGTTTCTTATTTAGGTTTTATTTCGAATTTAATAATTATCGATTTAACATTTATATTAAAAATCGTAATTTTTTCGAGCAATAATTAATTTATCGCTTATAGGTTTTATCCGAATATTCTAGTGAAATGCATCTAAAATATTATATTATGATAGTTGCATCTAGTGGTGTGATAGTTTTGCATTCGATGTTATTATAGCCTAAGAAATTGGTTGGAGGGTGATTAATGAATGGAGTTCGAAGTATTGATATATAATCTATGGAATTGATAAATTTGCCTCGATTTTAATAATGATAAGAATTGAATTGGTATCTAGGGAGGTTATTTCGATTTCCTATTATATCCTTGGTCGCGTCCTACAGGTTAGGTTTCACTTATATCGTGCCTACGCTATCTATGCAATCTATTAATATGTTTAGAATTTAGGAGGAAACACAGCCGCTTTGCTGCAAAAACGCCAAAAATATTTGGAATTGTCTTAATATTTGCATAGATTATATCCCTTCCAAATATCTTCTTCTGTTCGGAGGTGACTATAACACACCCCTAGATTTTGATGGTAACCATGTCTTTACGAAGGACCCCAAATATGCACGAGTTGCTTAATCAGATAGAGCCTTCTTCCAGATGTTGGTCCAGGACCATCATTTATTGGACAGCTTTGGGCTCGACTTTTGTGCATGGGACCCATAATTCTAGGATTGATTTCATGTTCATGCGACAGGAGCAGGTTAAATGGAAGGTTGTGCAATCCAAATTGCACCCGAATTTTGATTTTCTGTTTGGACAACAAGGCCCTTGTCGCATCCCATTGAGTATGATATTGTCCAAGTGGTATCCAACCTCCAAACCCAAGCCTCCGAAAAATGTCAACCGCTATCGTCTCCGCCAGACTTGGCAACAGAATTCAATGAAATGGTAAACCTTTATCGAGCAGGCACGAACATTGATCGCGGAGATGCCTCCCATGCAAAATCCGATTAAATGATGCCTGACTCTGGAAAAGAGTTTCCTATGATTGTGCCAAGAGAATTTTAACCCTGTTCGCCCAAAGCCAACCCCGGACTTGGAGTTTCGATCCCTCACAGCTCAAATGTGGCAGGCCCGGAAGACAGCATTGGCCCTCACCGTGGAATAGTTTCTTTGTTTCGAGGCTAGCATCAGGTCACTAAGTTTCGTCGATTGCACTTCCAGATTAAACGTTACAGCCGACTCAATCGACGCCGCAAGCTTGAAATGTTTCTTCAGAAGGGGCTGACCTGGCCCTGAGACACCAATCATTCGATTTCTTCAAATGGGTATGCCAACTTTGTCCTAAGCAACCGTTCAAATGTATTCACATTTTTGATAATCACGGACAACCCATTAGTCCATCTCAAGAACTTGCGGAGCTTATTCGTCATTTTGGCACTCAATTTCATGATTCGGAATTTCATTCCCCTCCGCTCTCGTCGATCCAGGTACTGTGGTTTGATGCCGAAGATGTGCACGCACACCTGAGAAGCCTGCCAGCCAACAAGGCAGTGGTCCCGCCCAGCCTGCCTGCACTCGTTTGGAAAGCCCTGGCCCAGCAACTGGCCGGCCCCACTTTTGGAGCGTTGGTTCATTCTTGGCACCGTCCCAACCCTCAACCCCCTGAAGAATGGACGGTTGGCTGGTTACACCTCATTCCCAAGCCGGACAAGCCAAGTACGAAACGGTTAATTCAATCAAGTATTTGCCTTTGAATACCTTTTTGCCCAACAGATGCACGACAGAGTGTTTGCTTCGGGTAGCTCATCATTGTAAGCTTGTTCGAGACAATTGTCAATGTCACAGACAGGACCAGATAGAGACGGGCATGTTTGGTGGCCTTCAGGTCTCCCTCAACATGAATAAAGCCTTTGATTCGGTCAATAGGACCACTGTGGGATTTGCCATTGAACTATTGCCTTTGCCGCAGGACCTACGAACCATGATGCACACCCTGTTGCACCCACACAAATACTATATTTCGCATAAATAGTTAGTTGGTGAACTCATTGCCTCCAGAGGGATCCGATGGACTCTTTGCATGAACCTGATATTGGTAGACCTGGCCGCCCGCTTTTCACATCAATGGATATACGACCACTTGATCGTATATGCTGACGACGTACACCTCAGATGGCAGCTTGAGAGCCTGTCAGACGGATTCGTTGCTCTATCCGATCTTAATCATGTCCTTCGGGTGTTCAAATCGTACGGGTTCATCATCAATCATGACAAGAGCGTCGTGTTGTTTCGAGCAGTGGGTCGAGGTGTGCATCATTTCACTAAGAAATGGGTTCAGCGCACAAAGGCCGGATCCTTTCTCCTCCTGCCGGACTCTTCACTCCGCCTGCCGATGGTATCGCAAACAGCATACCTTGGAATCATTTTGAGTTGTAGAGCATGGGAAAAGGACACGGTCCATCGTCGAGTCACTGCAACCCAGATGTGTTTTTCCATTCTTAGGAAGTGGCTCACAGCCCAGAGCATTCCACAGAAGGTTCGTTGTCGCCTTTATCATCAATGCATTGTTCCTACCATCATGCACGGCATGCATGAGATGGGAATCATTTAAAAATGTTTTTAAGAAAATTATGAATACGATTAATGTGCATTTCCGCCGAATGATTCGAGCACCGGTCCACCTCACACATGAACCCACACATGACATGTTTCAAAGACTTGATCAGCCAACACCCTGGGCGATTCTCTAAGACCGCAATAGTCGATTGCGTCGGACGCTGGAACACAAGCGCCAGCAAGCAATCGACAGAACCATGGACAAATCAGATCCTCCAGATGTCATTGTCTAGACCCCAGGGTACCCTATCAATTTCCTCGAGACACCGTCTGATGCCACTCAACCGCATGACCAGGCCCCAGAACTCGCGTGTCCAGAATGTCATCGACAATTCAACCAGGCTGGCCTGCTCAAACGCCATATGCGTCAGATGCACCAAATCCCTTGTTTGCCGGAAGATATCTACAACCCTTTGAGGGATTCAGAGAACGGCACCAATATCTATCGTCACTGTCGTACATGTTTTTCCAACATGATTGCACTTCGAACACACATCAATAAATGTATATGCACCGCTTTTGATCTCGGCCAGGGCTTGGTGATCCTAATCGTGGCTCGAGCTGATATGGTCATGCATCTACGACATCGTTTATATATGGGCCTGTTCTTAGATCAGGCACTTTGCACTGAACTTGCCACGCAACGTGCCTTTTGTCACCAGCAGGTGTATCCAAAGGCCATGACCCGACATTATCGAGATCAGCATCAGGAAAAGCATGGCCCAACTAATACTCACATGAAGTTTGTTCAGGACTTGGCCAACTTTGGCAGTGGCCGTGGAGAATGCCAGCTTCGCCGTGTCAAGACCATGAATGTCCAGACACACACTTGTTGCGTGCTCTTTCAACTCGCTGCCATGTCCTGTGATGCCATGCCTCAAGCGTCCCTGGCACCCGGCCATGACCGCAGGTACGGACGTTCTCTGCACCGGCGGCCAAGAAACCCCGTGGGATGGAAGATCTGACAGCCCACACGAACGATCTGCCTTCAATGAACACACAACCCACCACGAGTGCCCACCCCGTGGATTGTACAAATGCTCCCAATGCCATCAATATCAAGAAGAATATCTAATGATCCCAGCCACAGAGTCTATTGCAGCTGCCCCGCCTCGCAGAGGGCGCCCGCCAGGGAAAGACACCATCCAGACTCGTCTGGCCGAACCGGCCTCCACTAAGATCCCAATCCCAGTGGCTAATATGTCCATTGTATTTGATGACAATTGGCCGGAATCCTGAAAAACCTATTACCTAAAGTAAATAAATTACAAACGTCCTACACACAAAACGAAAGCACGTACAACAGCTCACAAGCAACGCAAAAGCACTCGCACACCTTTACGCGCACTCTCTAGGCCTTAAGCCCAAGTAAAGTACAAGAGGCTATGAGGTATTCCTGCGTATAAATTATTCCCATACGAGACATTAAAAGTGTCGAGCTTAAACGTACTCGAACATGCACAAAATTATTCAAGAAATATTCATACTACAATCACTAGAAAAGCTACAAAGACTTCTGTTCACAAAGCTTCCAAACATTGTGCATTCCGTGAGCTATGCTCTCCAAAGCTTTCAAAACACTTCGAAATACAAAGTTCCTGCAAGGAGCGCTTGTTCAAACATTGAAAATGTAAAACCTCCCAGCTAAGCCTTCACAAAACACTTAGACATGAACGCTATTATTCCCAAAATAATTGGTCTTCGCAGAATTAGTTATAAATTGACCTCGCCACTGGGGTAGTACGGCCACACTTGCACACCCCCTTTCGAGGTCAAGTGTCAACATCATTCTGCGGCTTAGGATTCTCCTCATATTTCGTCTTCAAACATTTCTTGCAGAAATGAAAGCGCGACAAAACACGGCCTTAGATATAATTGCATAGTTTTTCCAATAAAACCTTCCAATTTCCGATTCCGATCCTCTCCTCGAAAAAACCTCAAGGCGAAAAAACCATTACAAAAATTAAAGGCATTAATTTTGTATATTTCAATTGTCAAAAGTATCCAAATTACGACGAAAATAATATACCAATTATAAATAAAATAAACAAAATTAAAATTAAATTATATTTAAATTAATTCCATTATTTCGAAAATTTGCTTTAAAATTCCACATAATTTTATTCAAGAGTATTCCCATTTATAATATTAATAATAATACATATAATATTTTTAAAAATATCAATACAAAATATATATATATATATATTAAATATAAATATTAAAAAAATATATATATATTATTTATATATATTAAAAAATATATATATATAAATTAAATAAAATAAAATATATATAAATTATATAAATAATAAAATATAATATTACCATAAATTATATATAAATTAAACAATCCCAATCAAAAGCAAAAATAATAAAAATCATATATATAATTAATAACACAAAATTAAAAATAATATATTATATTAAAACAATAATTATTAAATTCGAAAAAAACAAATTCATTTCGTAAAACAAATTATCCCTAAAACACTATCTTTCGTAATATATTTAAATTACATTAATAATAATTATAATTCCGTTTAAACATAGAGAAATTAATATCGGCGAATTCATATAGTTTTCAAAAATTAATAATGTAAATTAATTATCGATAGATATATAGATTTTTATATTGCATTATTTAATATCGATTCCAATTGCCTGCAAATAATCGTATAGATTTTTGTTCTAATATATGCTTTGCCATGGATTTTCGGCCCCAAAAATGGAGGAAAACGAAAGCAAACCTGCCTGGCCAATGTGATTGAAGCCATCTCGCTCCAGCAAACGGCGGAGCCCTTGGGCCGGTCGGCTGTCACTTTAGCATTTCGCCACTTGTAGCTAGAAGCTACTAGTTGCAAAGGGCATCGCTACTAGTGACAAGTGTATCGCTACCAGTAGCTAGAAGCTACCTGTGGTCGATTCCTGATCTACAGAGATATCTTCAGCATACCATCCTTTAGTGCACGTATAAATATATAATGTAGACTCTTGCTTAATATTCCCGGGCATAAAAAGAGGTTTGACGAGTTTACTTCGTGCCATTTCGGAAACTTCTCTTCTTCCATTCCATGACCTAACCATTGGACACTCACTTTGCCGGTCCACACTTCGTCGCACGTCTTCCGCCTGTCTGCACATCTTGAAATAGACCTGTGACGTGAGACACATGGAGGATTGAAGATGTGTTTCATTCGACTTGGTTGGCCAACTTGGTGAGTAACACTTGGTACATACATGCAAATACTGCAAAGAGAAAAGCAAGGAGACCTCCGAGCTATTTTGTGGGTTACAGCACCGTGTCTGGATGGTTGTGATCTGAAGACAAACATGATTTAGTCTCAGGCTAGGAGTAAAGAGGAGACCGGGCCGGGGGTTCCAAGCATCATGGCATATGCGAAACTACAAAACTGAGTGCTACGCCAGAAATTCCAAGCCCCAAGACTTGGCGGAGCTCTGGAAGAATGATGCCTGTTCAACCTGGTTCATAGAAGGCCTCCAACTTGTAACTTATAACAATCTCCAACTGAAACCCTCCATCTTCTAATATCCTTCAGCCTTTGGGCGCTTTGAGTATTCACCAAAGAACCACTGCGAGTTCTCTGAATGCAGACCCAAGCACCATCATTCCGGGTCTATTCTGGGTCCTCCTGAATGGACCATTTAGGACCTGTTTGGCCGTATGGCCAAAGATGGCCAAAGCACCATTTCATGTCTCTTAGCCCTTTCCAGAGCGGTTCGGATTTTTGCTTCGCCGCAGCATCATTTGGGACTTGGAGAGTCCAAACCAAATGGCCGTGCACATCTTTGAAGACTGTTGGGAATTCTTGGTCGGGCGTGGAAAGCGTTACAGCTTTGCCATTGCAAGTTCGACATGGAATATCAGTGTATTGTGTAGAAGTATAACCAGTATAGCCAGTGAGCACGTCAACAATCTTCTGCTCAAGCATTAAAGGCTCCAACAATTTCCACATACTGTTACTACATTGGGAACTCCTTCTTTCTGATCGATCTGAAAGGGCCCCTTTTCTAACCTAGCTACAAGTACAGATTTCTCCGCAACCCGCATCCAGGCCCCTGCCGCAGGTCCGGTTGCACCAGCCTGGGCCTTTGTAGACCAAGCCAGTGTAGACTTCCACCAGGCTGGCGCCCGCGCGGATCTTCTCATACGCCGCCTTTGAGTGTCCAAGTGAATTTGATTGCCGCCCAAACATGCAAAGGAGGCAATGTAGGGGAAGTCATAAAAGCTGGCAATCTGGCTGACCCGAGCTCACCAATCTGTAGATGTGCTCGCCCAATGGAATTTTCAAGCTATAAATATATAATATATTTAGCCAGAAAGGGTGTCTTCCATGCTAAGCACCATCTGTGACCACCACCACCACCACCGCCACCACCACCATGCTTCTGTCAAGACCGACGAACACCCTACCGTTTGAACACACTTGCATTTGTTTGGCCAACGTGTGGCACCACCGCTGACATGGGGAAGGTTCGGCGAAAAACGTGCCCCGCGTGCCCCAAGATGTTCAAGATCCTCGGAATTGACACGCTACCGTGCCGCTTATTTGAGGCCTGTCCAAATCACCCCACCTCGGCGCTATCTGTGCCGCCCACTCCGATGATGGTCAAGCGGCCGCCTGAATCTTTGTGCTACTTGGGGTCTTCCCAAGGCGCAGGGAAGAGTTGAGTGGCCGGTGGTCCAAACAAAGATCAACTCCAAGAATTAGGAATCCAGGCCCTCAACATCGCTCGACATTGGAGATAGTTTTGAGGGCTCAGATTCCTGCAATGGAGGGTCTGTCAATGGAGGGTCAAGGATTGTCTATGGAAGGCAAAAAATTATGCAGCGTCCTGCAGTGGCTGTATATATAAAGGTGACAAACCGACAAGAATTGGCAAGTCTATGCAAATCGAAGTATATATATATATATATGTGTTGAAAGCTTCCATGAATGCCACCAGCACTCTTCCCTTCAGGTTCGTGCATGGCCGTACGTTCGTTCATCCGAGGGCAACCTTTTCGGCTGGAGTCGAAGGAATAAGGCTGCCCGGTGTGGGATGGAAGGGTTTCCGTCCGTGCCAGTGTTTCGACATTGGTAGCGGAGCCTGGGGTAATAGACCCTGGGCTCCGAGACGGATCTTGGCGCCGCCATGAATGCCACGTCGAGCGACCATGGAGGTCTCAAGTATTTTTCCGGTGATAGCGAAGACCAGAAAGAGTATCGTCGCTGGAAAGCATGGGTCCAAGCAAAGATGCTTACCTTAGACAAGATGCCCAAGGAAGCCCGTGGTGCGTACGTGTTCACCCTGCTGTCTGGCAAGGCCCTGGAGTGTGTGGAACACCTAGAGCCAGCAAAGTATCAGACTGCTGATGGAGAAAAGGTGTTGTTTGAGCTTTTGGACGCCCGCTTCCCTCAAAAGGAGATGTCGGATGAGATGTCCGAGACCCTGACCGAGATCTTCAATCTGAAGATTCATGAAGGCGAGAGCCTCAAGGCTTGGATCAGCCGTGCTTCGGAGATGTTTGATCGCTGCTTGAGGAAAACCAATGTTTCCTTTCCGGAAGAGGCCAAGGGTTGGCTGATTTTACAGAGTGTCGGGGTTGATGTCAAATGGTTGCCAGGGTTCAAAACAAATCAGCAAATTAAAGCGCTGAATATGGTAGACCAAGGTAGTTGTTTTCAACAAGCTGTGCCTTTCTTCGAGCAAGAAACCACTGAAGTGATTCGTAAGCTGTTCGATACCCACTGGGTCAAAAGTGCAGGACCACCTCAAGAAATCATCGTTGATCAGGCCAGGACCAATCTAGGAGAAGCTTGGTTAGATAATCAGGGAGTTTCCGTTCGCATGATCCCCGCCCGTGCACATTGGCAACTCGGCAGGACAGAATCTCACGGAGGATGGTTTGGTTGAGTTTTAGACAGGGTCATCCAAGAACTTTCACCATCCAATCAAGCTGAATGGGAGGAATGCGTTCGACATGCCCATGTTAAGAACCACATGATTCAGAGCTATGGATATACGTCCCCGGCGCTGCTGGTCTCAGCGATGATGCGGTAGCACGAGCTCAAGCTATTCGCACGAGCGCCCGACATGCGGTCATTGCATTGCAGGACGACAAGGCACTTCCTTCGTCATGCATTGGCTGCCAGACCTAGAGCGACAATTCATTTTTGTCCGGGTGACCTTGTGTGTTACTGGCGAAACCAAAAACTAGTGGGAAAAGGGGTCGTGCAACAAGGTGGACGTTGGTACGGTACTGCCGTCATCATAGGTCAGATAGGAAAGAATTGGATAGTTGCCCATCGACGTCAAATCGTCAGGTGTGCTCCAGAGCAGCTCCGTCCAGCCACCACCGAAGAACGGACTCTGATTTCGTCGCCTCAAGCTGAGTTGCTAGGTGTGAAAGATCTCATTGAGGGAGGAACCTTCAAAAGCCACCAAGTGATTGATTTGGTTCCTGGACACTATCCTACCAGTGAAACTAGTCATCAGAGTCCGGATACAGGCAGACAACCTCCTGATGCTCAACCGGTGACTGGAGATGATGAACCAAAGCCGACCACACAACCACCAGACTGGAACGCAGAACAAAGCAATGTGCCCTCGAACACCAGCGGTGCATCAACCGATCGTCCTAGGAATACGCCTCAAGTAGAACCTAGTTCTTATGGCCCCATCCGCAAACGGGTCGGTCACAAGTCAGGTGCCACCGCGTTGTATCGTCCAGCAGCCATGAGACAAGAAGACTTCTTGGAAGTCACCAAAGAAGTCGTGACCCGTTTAATTGATGAAGCTATGCAACCGACCGATGAGTCCATGGATGCCAGCATGAAACGACCTTTGACGCCGTCTCACACTGAGGGAGTCCAGGAACCACCAACTTCGAAACATAGAAGTTCCGAAGATGATGAAGTCCTTTCTGTAGAGGAAATCAATCAACACTTGTCTCAAGGGTCCAAAGTCTTTGATTGCTGCGTACATGGAAAAGAAATTGAGTAAAGAAATTCCGTCAAACAACCCCCCAGAACTGCAGAAGCTAGTAGATGAATCGAAGGGAGTTGAATGGGATACCATAGCGGATAAGCAAGCAATTCGCTTACACTTCGGTAAAAAGGCTTTGAAAATCAAGGAACAGTTTGCCGATCGATTCATCGGTTCTCGATTCGTGATTATTCGCAAAGCAATTCAGGACGGTATAGCCGTAGACATACATGATCCAACCACTTTCAAGATCAAAAGTCGATGGGTGGTTCAGGGTCATCTCGATCCTGACTCAGCCTTGAAAGCCGAAGAGGGTATGCTTCAGTCGCCGACTTTAAGCCAACTAGGTGGGATGACCTTAATGCAAGTCATCGCATCCTTTCGTTGGAAACTGCAACTTGGTGACATTAAAGGAGCATTCCTTGAGGCCGGCTCATTGCCTGAAACAGACGCCTCCTGGAGGCATACCCGGAGTTCCAAACCGGGAGGGCGTGGTGATCGAGATCATTGGCAATATCTATGGACAGAACGATGCACCAAGAGCTTGGCACCGAACGTTCGACACTGAAGCCCTGAAACTCGGCTGGACTCGATCGATCTTGGATCCTTGCTTGTACACCTTGCGTTGTCCCAAGACACAAAAACTGGTGGGCATTATGGGAATCCATGTAGATGATACTGCCGTAGGAGGTGATGGTCACTACTTTGAAGAAGTGTTAGGACAAATGAGATCTCGGTTTCCTTTCCGAAAATGGCGCATTGGCAATTATGAGTTTTGTGGTGCTCTGTACGAACAATGTGAGAAAACGGGCGAGATCACCACCATGTCACAACAATCCTTTGCAGAGGGCCTTCGACCCGCATCAATTCCGAAGGGAGTGCCAGCTTCTCAACCCCTGACTGATCAGCAATCTCGAGTTCTAAGGGCCATCAACGGAAGTCTCAACTGGCTATCATCGCAAAGTAGACCTGATCATGCTTGCCAAACAAATATGTGTCAACAAGGGTTTCCCAAACCAACCATTCACAATCTCCGAGAAGCAAACAATGCTATCCGTAGAGCTAAGCAACACAAAGACTTGAAGATCTTGTTCAAATCCATCAAACCGGAAGATTTGACGGTGTGTTGTCATTCTGACGCAGCATTTGCAAATGTGGGTTGTCATACTCAAGCAGGTTATGTTTTGGCCTTTGTTGAAAAGAAGTTGAATGAAGGAAAACTATCTGCCTGGACTCCAGTGACTTGGCCTAGCTACAAGCTTCCTCAAGCCGTGAGCTCCACTCTGGGAGGGAGAGTCAAGCGCTGGCAACCGCCAGCGGCACCGCCGAATGGTTAAGCTTGATGCTGGCTGAGATTTTGGACGGACCTTTCGACGCTCGTGAGGCCAGAGAGTTGTTGAAAAAGAGGTCCCCAATAGTCACTGTGAAGAGACCCCCAGTAATGGCTGCTGATTGTAAAAGTCTTTATGATCATTTGGTGTCACCATCATCCCCAACAGCTATCGAAGATCGTCGAACAAGCATAGACATCGTGATTTTGAGAGAATCTTTGAAACTCACCGGAGGATGCATTCGATGGCTACCCACGAATAGGATGATCGCCGACGGACTGACGAAGGACCGTCAAGAGCCCGCAGACCTTTTGCGAGCGTGCATCCGACAGGGGGTGTACCAGATTTCTCCAGAAGACACCATCCTTCAGCAGCAGGCAGAAGAAAGATTGCGAAGACAGCACTTAAAGAGTGCCACTCTGCCGGAAGGGACGAATTCGTAATAATAATATATATATATATCCTGCAATTTGATCGCTTCTTTTAGATGTGCTGAAATATACACTTCTATCCAAAAGGGATGGATTGTAACGGGTTATTTGAGTTCTTGAGAAGCTTTTGGCTTGCGGTTTCTCTTCTGCATGGTTTTGCAATAGTACATTTGTCAAGGTGTACGCTGCGAGTTTTCGTGTCTATCGTTTCTGTTTTGGTCGCACAGTGATCCAATTCGGGCAGTACAAGCCTGGTAAGGTATCAGTTCGAGATCGATTACCACCTTGATGAGGCCTGGTCCGGTACTTGCATTCCCGGAACCTCAGCCACGAGCCATGAAGTAAAAGAAAAGATAAAATAGTGAATGTTGAAAGCTTCCATGAATGCCACCAGCACTCTTCCCTTCAGGTTTGCGCATGGCCGTACGTTTGTTCATCCGAGGGCAACCTTTTCGGCTGGAGTCGAAGGAAAAAGGCTGGGATGGAAGGGTTTCCGTCCGCGCCAGTGTTTCGACATATATATATATATAAACCACCCTGTGGTCCTGTGCAACGATCAATTCTTCATGAATCATGCCTTGTTCTCGTCTTCCCCAGTTGGCATGTTCCACTGGCTCGACTCTTTGGACCCTTCCGATCGGAGGGTACGACGTGGGTCCGACGCGATGCCTCCCACCCGAAGTCATCACCCTTCCCCCAAAAGACGCACCCCATAGGACACCATCCATTGACTTGATGTTTTGGGCTCGGCTCCATGGTTCCATGAACATATATTAGTCATGAACCAAATTGGCACGCACATCAAACATGGAGTGTCTGGCATAACACCTGCCAGTACCTGCCAGTACCTGCAAGCCCGAGGAGTGCATGGGGTCCATTTGGTCCACGGACTGTGTTCAAGACTGTGATGTGACTTGGAAAAGAGTCACCTGGGCCCCACACAGAGGGTACAATATATATACCTGGCCGTTGGCCTCAACATGACCGGCCCGCCCCTCACCGGCCACCTGTGGCTTGGTAGGCCGAGCGGATGGCCGCCACGCTCCGCTGGTGGATCACCCTCGCGCCAGTGGGACTCGTCGTCGTCCCACGCTTTTGTATACTAGTAAGGATGCTCCTAGTAGTACGGCCAGGAGCCCCTAGTAGCGTCCTTGCTCCTAGTAGCGATGCCAGGAGCCCCTAGTAGCTTCTTGCCCTAGTAACAAAAGGAATCTAATAGCAATGGCTCTACTTGCGATGGCCTCCTCCCTAATAGCGATGGCCTCCAACCTACCTCACGGTCTGGGATTGGGGTCGTGTGTGGTTCGAAGGACCTTCCGGAAAGTTACTTTTCGTGTGGCAGGTTGACCCAAAGGCGAATCCTCGTGTGGTTGGGAACCACACAGAACGACTCGACTGGAAAAATGATATTGCCTGGGCAGGTCATGATCCGTCAATGATCTGGAGTGAACAAGGCAAAAAGACATGTTCCACTTCAGTCTCAAGCTCAAAACCTTCGTCGAGACCAAGACCAAGGTGCGTCTTCCTCATCCCACACGAACGGTCGGACAGCTGGTAACGACCACTCCCAAAGCTCTGGATCCAGCAGCGCCAAAGATTAGGACACCCCCAAAAAAAAAGAAGGAGTCTAAAATCACCATTGTTTGAAAACCAAGAACTTCCGAAAACGCAGAGGCCTTCCCTCGTTCGTTCGCTTGCCCTGCCTGCCACTGACCCCGCCCTTGCCGATGGCATCGGCGGCTGCTCGGCCCTCGGGACTCAGCTGGACCTCCGGATTCCTTGGAGCGGCCGGCGCGGCTGTAGGAACCCCCAAGGTCGGGGAACAAACGAAAGACCCCAAAGGTGCAAATGGGGCATGTCTGTGCGCATGTGCCTTTTTTGGTTGTTCGTTTCTCTTGTCTTCCTTTCACCTTTTGGGCCCTATGCGTGATCCGGTGTCCGACGTTGTTCCATTGATTTGGCAAAAAAGGTATTTTGCTCTGATGTTTTTGGGTTTCAGGTCAGTGGTTCTTCAGCGATGTTGCTTGGTGTAGGACCAGGTGATGTTTGCCACCTTGAACCGATCTTTTTGGTTCTGGCAATCGTGTCCGCGGACAATTCGTGGATCAGCAGTTTTTACTCGTGGATCAGGAGTTTTGGGGGCGCGGATCAGTGGTTGTCTGCGGTGGACACGTGCCCCCCTCCTACACACATTTGTTATGGTTCCTCATTAGGGCCTTAGGGATACAAGTTTTGACAGCTCGAAGTTCGAAGCGGATGTTTTTTTGGCACTTGGAACGCATGCTGTTTGACATGACAACATCTGAGTGAAACAAGTGTTTGTTATTTGTTTTTACCAGTGCTGAATAATGTTGGAGCAACTGAGTTTTTTGTTCGCTTCTCTCGGCAAAAACAATTCACCCATCCACAACAGTTTGCAGGCTCCAAAAAAGTCCCTCATGTCCTGGCCCACCCAAGACCTCCACTGAAATCAGCTGAGCGTCTTGATCGTGTTAGAGATCACCTTAGCTGATTGCATCTAAGGCCACAGAGTGCTAGCTGAATCGTAACTTGTACGTTCAAGCCAGGAACGGGTCCTCTGGGCGGATACCTTCTTGGAACAACCCGGCCCTGTCCCATGAAAACCCAATAAATCCCAATAAGCACATCCAACATTTTGACCGAGTCAAGTCCTTGAGTCCTTTTACCACGATGCTCAAGTTTGTCTCGAGAAACTGTACCCTCCAAACCCTCCTAAATGGAAGACGTCCTTTCTTCGTGCATGTGGCCAAAACCGCTCGTGATTCGGGAGTTGGTGCATGGTGATGGAGCCAAGCCGGTCACCCGCATGGGTGTGTTTTCAGTCCTTTCAGTCCTAAATGGTTAAAAAAATCAGCGATTTGCTGGTCCGTTTAGCTCCCAGGAATGGGCTGCCTTGCTGATCAACCTTGGTGATCTGCCCTCCCTGGCAAAAATCTCCAACTGCGCCCTCACTTTCACTTCAGCACCACCGGGACGTCAGCACAGTCCCAAGCCCTCCCGGAATGTTCGATCTCCATTTGCAAAGACCGGATCTTCCCTACACATCCCTTATACAAAGAAGCCCTCCAAGATCCAGAATGGTTTGGAAGACAAACTCCTCTCCCAAACCAATTCCACGTTCTTTCCGTGAGTCCACTTTCTTCCACATCCCCGCCGGCTGTCCACGCCACGCGCAGATGCCAGGCTTCGCCGCAGATGCGCCCCAGATGCATGCGTTGGTCAAGTCACGAGTCCATCCACGATGCCCGAGGCCTCGATCACGTTGAGCAGTTCCTTTTGACTTCTCCGGCCCTCCTGGAACCCGTGGCACGCATGCTCGTGGTCGGTGAAGGAGACCACGAGCACGGGTTGGTCGGGATCGACACGGTGCTGCGCCGCAGGTGTCAGTACAATCAAGTTGTCACCTCTGACGTCTGCCCTCGCTGTTCATTTTAGACCCCAAAACTTGGGGTCTTGCATGGTATCCTCTAGCCCTTAACTCCAAGTCGTGCAAAGGTGCTTGACCCCCGCTTCGGGGAATTCCAGCGACTCTATCCATGAGAATACCATGAAAGACCCTCTCCTAGAGTGCCATCTCAGCGTCGCCCATCTTTTCTCAGCCTGACACTGCATGGATTGCCACCGCTGCACACTTGGCGCGCGGACTTTCAGCCAATCATTTTGCTTCGATGACCTGTACTGAACAACGGTAAAAAGCTAGGTGCGTCGACAGAGCTCCAGATTGGAGCCCCAAGTGGGCAGATGACAGTCTGCTCCACATGAGCCAGATGCAAAAAGAGAGAAAAGTTGGATTCCAAAAAACAAAAGGTCTCGGACGACATCAGTTCACACGCATTCCGAAAGTTGCCAATCTGGTCCAATCTGATGAAGCCACGGCTCACAAACCGCATGAGCGGAGGGCGGCTCAGGCTTTTTAGGACCCGTCATTAATCCAAAAGTTTATTACCAAAATGGCTGCGGAGTATTGAGCACGCTCACGAACTCGCAAGAAAACAATTATTTCACCATAACCGCTTCTGTTCAACTTCCATCATTTTTTTATGATTCCAAAACCAGCTCTCTGAAAGCGCAACATATTTTATATCGACCATATTTCAAGCTAACTTCTGAAGGTCTACTTGACCCAGCGTAAAAAAGGTCTACAATGAAAACAAGACCCATCTTAGACCTTTGCCTGTCAGACCCTAGAGGGTCACCCATTCCAGACCCTAGTAGTTGAGGGTACTAAAAAAATCTGTTTATATAAAACCAGTTGTTATCTGAAATAGCAATTCCAAGCAGTGGCTTTCATGTAGAAAACAGGTGCTCATGCACAATGTTCCCATGTTGTATGCTTGTATGCTGTGCACACCCTTTCTTTTCAATAGCAACCTTCTTGCCCTACAGAGTCAAATTGTTCCAAATGTATGTATATCTGTAGTGTATCTTACTCAATTCATGAGACCAAGTGTTTTTCGCCTTAGGTACTCCCAGTACTCCAGAAATTTGGATGATCTGCGCTCTCCCATGGCCGTCCACCCGCTCTTTTCATGTGTGTGTGTGTGCTCAGTTCTGTCCGGAAAAGCCGGTGGACCGGTCGAATCGGGCGGCCTGCGCTGCCCGACCGTGTCACTCCTCGCTGTCCGGAGTCGCCATCAACTTCACCAGGATCGGGGGCTTCGCTCTGGCGCGACGCGACGCGGAGCGAAACCCGGAGGGGCAAAGCGAACGAAACATGCAAAGAGCCTTAAGATCCCTTGAGTGATCCCTTACGGGTACCCATAGCTTTGTAAGGTATCTTTTGTTTGGGCCATGTCTTGGAGTGGATTATCGGAGTCCACCTGATCGAAAGGTGCACGAGACCAGCACAAGTGATCGCTCCCCATGGATGTTCTGCAGTAAATCCACGGAATGTGGAGGTCGGACCATATGAAACCACCAAGCGTTACCCTAAAGTTTCGGCCAATGTTCCACCGGTCTTTCTTTTTGAGTGATTCTGGTGGAAGGAATGGGCCAGCATGATCTTTAAGCTATGAATGCATGGTGCTCGAAAGTTCTCCAACCCTGAATTTCCAACTCGCTTGATGTGGTAACTTTGAGACACCCTAAAAGCCTTCCAAGTGAAGCAGGACCAACCGGCCCAGACTGGCCCACACTAATCATCATCCACCAAGGCAGTGGGCAAGTTCGCCCAGGGGACAAAAACCATCAAAAACCCTTCCGAAAGCCCAGAACTTCCAATAATCCACCGCTACCCTAGGGGTAAAATGAGTCCTTTGGACTCTCAGGGCAGGTACATGGCGCTGGCCTCGCCTGCCCCGCACCTCCTTCGCTACGGCCGACAGCAGCCCAGCCAAGGCGTCGGGCTCCTCAGGACATCCCCACGTGTCGGATGACCATTAGGATTACTCCCTGACCCCAGATTGAAAACACTGCTCGCACATTTTGCCAATGAATTCTTAAAGGAAAGGATAGAAAAATGGTTCATTGATGTCCATTTTGGGTGGGTGGTAAGACATTGATGCCTTTTATTATCTCAGGGGATTTCAATCAGCGCATCCAGAATTTGACAGCATGGAAAGCATTTCAACAGTTGCACTGTGTTGAGGGATTCGACTTAGCGCTTCAGAAGTTTCATAAAGAGCTACCGCCGACATGCCGCAATTCTACACGTTTTGACTCATTCATTGTTCATCCGATCATTGCAGAAATGATAGTCGATATGTGGGTAGGCCCGGGTAGGCCCTGCTCACTTGTTCTCCGACCATTCCCCTATTTATGCTAGGGTGCAGAGCGACCGTCTCTCCTACCTCTCGCCCTCCATATATGTGCCTGAAGATTGGTCTTGTTTCTCAGTCTCCCCTGATGAATTTTCCCATCAATACCAGATGACCGCTCGTGATGAATGTCTCTCTGTCTTCATCCATTCTCCCATGACTTCTGCTGAACAAAAGATGCAAATTTGGTCCCATACAGTGGAAAAAGCCTTGAATCGCACCATACAAATGCAGCATTTCTGTGATCCTTTGAACTTTCCACAGAAGAACCTTCCACCTCGGTTTCGGGGACGTTGTCAGCCACCCAAGTTCGAGAAAAAATCAATTTTTCGAAGCGTGAAATCTGATCCGACTAATAGCTATTCACCAAAGGGAGAGCCGACCTCCCTAAAAACTTGTCAGAAGGTTCGCCAGACACGCCGTTTGGCCTCCCTGTTTCGCCAAGTAAACCGAAAACTTTTAAGGCATCAATCATGGGAACAGATACCCACTGTTGAACAACAATCCCTTCAGCAGGAATGGTCAAGGATTCGCCAGGCTCAAGGGTTTGGCCATTCTTGGGAGGGTGGGTTTTAGGTGTTGAATGTATACCGCTGGTACCCACTAGAGTTCCTGACCTCTCATTGCTCCATACTTTTCTTCAGATCACTAAGTATGATACAGATCTTTCAGTCCGCCAAGAAGAAAAAGTTCGTCGAGCCGCCAGGAAGCATTTAATCCAACAAGATTGCAGGGATAAGAACGGCTCATTGGTATTTAAAGATTTAAGAGATAAGGAGCAGCAAGTTATATCGGGTTTGCCATGTGACATTCAGGCGGAAGCCTCTCTCTAAAGGCAGCATCCGTCTACTTGTAACTGATGACACTAAGTTTCGTGTAGGCAATGCTCAATATACCGATATACCAATACAAATACAATCTCAAAAGGACCGATTAATCATGATTGCCTCAACTCATGAAACCGTGCCACTGAGAGCTATGCTAAAGCAAAAAAGGTACACTGAAGATATTGATACTCTATCAAAACATTTCTTCTCGTTTTGGAAACCAATGTGGCAACGCGATACTGAGTGTGAAGCGACAGATTTATCCCAGTGGTCAGAAGCGTTGCAAGATATAATTCCCCCAATTCCACCGCGTGAACCAATCTCGGTGGTGTGGGATGACCCCCGTGTGGTCCGTGCAACGATACAGCGAATGAAACCATTTACAGCTCCTGGTTTGGATGGCTGGCGAGCACAAGAGCTCCAAATGCTTCCTTTTAGAGCCATCGAGGATCTTGCATCTATCTTCCACGTAATCTGGCCAACTAACTTGACAGCTACACAGATGCTGGCCAGAGTAATCCTTCTTGTAAAGATCACAAACCCAGAGACGTTCTCTGATGGTCGACCGATTACGATATTAGGATATATTCCACGCCTTACATCCAAACTGGTGGCCGATCAGTTATTGCGGGAATGGGGAAAATCCTGGGACCCACAAATTGCTGGTGGTCTCCCCTTCCGTGCAGTTAAGGATATCACGATTCAACAACCGTATATCTTGTAGAAGGCCCATACTTCTAACACACCTTATGGTGGATTCACACTAGATTTGACCAAAGCTTTTAATCAGATTCCCCGCCAAATCGCTCGTCAGCTTCTTATCCATTTTGGGGCGCCAGACAATGCTATAGGATTCTGGATCCGCTCTTTAAATGAGATGCAGCGTATGCTCCAGACTCGGCAGGGGTTCAGTCATTCCTACCCATCCACTACGGGTGCCCCTGAAGGTGACTCCCTCTCGGTTTGTGCCATGCTAGTTATTGCGGCAGCCCTTTTTCATCATATGGCACAAGCTCGTGTTACCCCGTTTACTTATGCTGATAACTGGACGTTTCTTTCAACCTCAGAGAGAAACTTGTTTCGCGCAATGAGAACCACCCTTAACTTCACGCATGCCCTTCGTATGAAGGTTGACATTCGTAAGTCCTGGGGGTGGGGCACAACGAAATCCATGCGTGACTTTTGGGGTCATATGCGTCACTTGTTCCCAGCATCTTCTTTAGAAATTTCCGTCCATCACGCAGCAAAAGATTTGGGGTGCACAATGCAATACACCAAGCAGTGCGTTCTTGGTTGCCTTAAGGATCGCATGGCGGCAGCGACACGAAGACTTACCCGTCTAGGTCGTCATAATCTAACCATTGACGAAAGGGCCTCGAAGATACAGATGGCTATTTGGCGATTAGCATTTTATGCAGCAGAGAGTCAATTTATTGGTGAATCCCATTTTGTAAAGTTGCGCCGACAAGCTACTGACGTGCTAATCGGGAAACATAAATATGCATCTTCAATGTTGGCTCTATCGATTCTTTCGCCTAAAGTAGAGGACCCCATGTTATATGTCATTAGTACAGCCATCTGCAGTTTTCGACGTCTCTTTCAATATCATAACCAACTTGCCACTGAGATGTGGCATCATGTAGTTCATCGAGACACAAAGTGTGGTCCATGTGCCGCCTTGGGTAAAGATCTTGATAGAGTCAAACGGAAACCTATGGTTGATGCCATGCTTGAACTCCCGGATGGTCAGCAATTATGCATTTGTACACACTCACCGAGTGAGATTCGTCGCGCGCTCCGGTCTGCGTGGGCTTTCTATGTATATGACCATATCCAACATCGCAAAGGGGTCACACATACCCCTTTCGACCTTTATGTCCAGCACAAAATTAATCACAAGCTGTCAGACCAGACTCGTAAGTTAATAGGACTTAATCTCACCGGTGGATATCAAACGAACGCAGTTAAGTCATTGTGGGACTCAACGCAGAATGCATTGTGTACGTATTGTGACCAACCTGATACGCATTCGCATCGCCAACTGGAGTGTGTTCATTTTCAGCATGTCAGAGATCGCCATCCGGAGGCTGTACGTCTTCTACAAACCTTTCCTAACCTTTTGTGGTTCCCCGTGGCGACAGTACATGCTAAGCAAATAACCTACAACCTCCTCAAATACGTCCGTCAAGGTCCATTTCTTGATGTCCCCAATATCGTGCCGTCGTCCCACCATGTATTTTATACAGATGGGAGCTGTGCCGTGCCGCATGGGCAGTTGTCCAACATGTGAATTCCAACTCTCAAGACCCGTCAGTGAATGATGTCGTAGTCACGCAATCAAACCATTAATAGGGGGAGTTAGGGGCGATTGCATGGCTGGCGCGACATTTTACTGAATCTCGTCCCAATCAATGTATGTCAATTTACACTGATTCCGACTATGCTCTTCGTCTTGTTGAGGCGATTGCATCTACAGTAATACGTTCGATCCCAAGACTTTTCAAAAATCACATGCTGATCTATATAATCCATCAGCTTCAACAGTTTTGGAATCCACTTTTCTACCAAATACGCAAGGTAAAATCACACCGTAATCTAGAAGATGCGATTGATATTGATGACTTGTATACGATCCTGGGAAATGATCTAGCCGATCAGGTTGCAAAGAAGATTAATCAACTCGATGTCCCTCCTTTTCAAGACGCAGCAGAGGCTGTTTTTCGGCATTCATTAAACCGAGTTGATGCCCTGATGTTGATTTACCAATATCTCGCGGACTTGAATATGCTTCATTCAAAACTGAAAATTGAAAAAGAAAAGAATGCCGCCTCAGAACACCAGCATAATACATTGGACGCTTATGCCAACTTTCAATCGGCATTGTGTCAGTGGGATGTTGGCCCTGTGTATTAGTCCTTAGATGTCGACTTACCAGAAGTAGTTGCCCAAGGATGTCCAGTTGGTGCGAGTGTGGCTTATAAGGTATGGCGGATGTTTCACACATTTCGTTGGCGACCACATGAGGCTCCTGTGGCCTCTGGTGATTTTGGCATAACTTGGTATGAACTTGCACTATATTATGCCCTTTTTACCGGCACCTGTCTTCCTATTTGGATATACCATACTGCCAAAAAATTACCGCGCCCATACGCCTTCGATTCTCCTGAAGCTAAAATTCAGCCTGACTCTAAAAAATGCCTATGGCATGAAGCAGGGGTCGTGCGCTCTGTGGTACGATATCTTGAGAATTCCCTGCAATGTTCCTTTTTTCCACGATACAAGAAGACCAACGCTAGTTCTTTGGTTCGACTTGGATTCCATCGAAGTTTAGTGGGTGGTATTTCTGCTCGTCCGTTTCTGCCGCATGCGGATTTGCTTATGCAACATCTACAAGCATATGCCTCACTACCCAACCAGTCATATCCCCTGAATGTTCGAGTCGTGCAGTCCCTCATTCCACTCACGCATCCCTGTCCGAATCCTTCGTTTGGTGATATCTCCTATGACAAAAGTCATAACCTCTATCAGAAGATTAAATGTCTTCGCCAAAAACAGTCGCTCCATTCACTTGATGTGCCCAATTAGATGCTTTCGCTCAATGATGTGTTAATTCATTACATTCATCACCATTCACCGTGTCTTAATCCGGTGTTTGAGTGCTTGATGTTTGCACGTGTTGTACATGTTCACATGTTGTCGTACATTCTAACCCTCTAGCACCCCACATAGTGGAAGGGCTATCGAGGGGCGAACGATGGATCGATCGCGAGTTGGTTTGGTGGGTGGTAAAGAAATTCCTCGCCGTTTCAATGCATTTTTTCTCCCATATACTCACTTGCTCCCATGTTCTTCACCGGTGGTGGAAGGCATTTGGATCGCTCCTCGAAGGTCTTTCCCTCCGTGGTGTTGGGACAGGAAACGTTCAGAACCTCGGCGTTGATCGCCGACGACCAGAAGCGATGAGAAGCGCATTCCGACTTGGTAAACCCAAAGAACAGGGCTGGGGTCGAAAGTGCCCAGAGCAAGTAGCCTAAACCAGAGCGTTTCGAAACAGTATGATTTTGGCACGCCTACCCTCCAGCAAGTTGGTCCGAACTTCGTCTTCTGCCGTGCCGTGCCGGCCATGAAGTCCACATCGTGACCCCAAAGCATTTGGGGAAAGAGTGGAGCTCTGCGGTCTTCGGTCTACACCCGCCGTCGTTGTCCTAACCCAAGACATGACCTGTCGGTGTCGTGGTATATGACTCCGCAGTTGGGGTGGTTCACCCAAAATCAATGTCGGCATAGGTTCCAGACATGGAGCGTCTGGGTACTCTCTGTTCTCCATCTTCCACTCCACATGACCCTCTCCCTGAGGCTCCAAGGAGCCACGAAGTCCGCCAAGGGCGAGAGCGTGCGAAAGCTCTGCACGAAGTCCTCCACCGCTGCAGGACCCAAGATGCTGGGGTCGTGGGTCTTGGCGATGTTCACCCCCACCGGGCGCTGCCCTTGGCCAGAGCTGGTCGCCTGGAGAAAAGGCGGCCAGTGGCGAGGTGGGTGACCCTGGGTGGCCAGAGGCGAGTCTGAAGTTCAACAACTCTCCAAAGTTGCTTGAGGAACTTCAGAAACGAACCGCGAACCAATAAAGCTGGACATGTTTGTTGCCAAATCTAAATTCTGCCAATACATGCCTATATACATCTTTATTAAATTGTATTAACCCACCGAACCCGAACCCTCCTCCAGACTGCCCCAGAGAACCCAATGATCTTCCCGCCTCCATCTCCCGGAGCCGCTGGGCGAGCGCGTCGGAGCCCTCGTTGTTCAGGCCCATGGCGTTCACCACCACGTCGTCGCTGGGAATCCGCCAACACCTGCGACGCGGACACTCCGGTGCCGGTAGCGAGGGCTGGCGGGAGGCTCCGGAGGTTCCGCAGGTTCTTCTGCAAAAATTGCCGTTTTAGGAGAGGTTTCTTGGCATGGTGCCATTGAGGGGGGAGACAGCACTCAATGAGAGGTGCAACTGAATTGGAGAACTGGAGGTAAACATCCTGACTTGATCTAGGTTGAATCATAAGTTGAAAGTTGAATCTATAACTTGAATCTGAAAGGGGGCCTCCTTCTATCAGACTAAGCAGCATTCAAAATCGGCCTGGGACGGGCGTTGCCGGCGGCTGGCTTGGCTGACACGGAGCCGATCTCTGCAAAGCCAAGACCAAAGAGGCCAGCGCGGTAGAGAGGGACCTGGGATCGAGGGGAAAGGCCAACCCGAGACTGGGCCCTACCCCGCCTCCTTTGGAGAAATGGCACCTTCCAGGGATGTTCTACGATGTTCTACGGATGTTTAGGGTGGTCATCTTCCAAACCACTTTGAGCATCTTTTAGCCAAGAAAAAGTGAGTCCAGAAGAGTTCATGGTTTCTTGGTACAACCGTGTTTGTCACGTTCGTTCTCACCAGATGCAATGCGAGTCTCACAGATTTCAACGTTCTAAAAGCCGGCAGCCCAAGGTACTTGCACCTGAGTATTTCCTTGTGGGTCTATGGGTCAAATTAGCCGCTTCTTCTCACTGAAGCAAAAACCCGTGCAGTAAAGGTAAGTACAGTAAAAGTGGCTTGGGCCCTATGTCGAGACCGACTAGGGTACCTGGGCAAAGCTTCTTCGTCCAACGGAGCAATTCTTTAATTGAACCACCCCTCAAATCAAATAAATAGGGGATATCATCAGGATCTGGATCTGGCTGAAATTGATTCATGATTGTACATTAAAAAATAGATCATGTCCAAAGGGGATCTGGATGACATCTCTGGGAAGCGCCCCTTGGACCAATGTCACGAAGGCAACCAAATACCATCAGTCCGCTGTTGCGGGGTAAAGAACAGTGCAAGTAAGCAAGCTGAATGCCAATGATCAATTCCCAACATGTGGCCAATGTGGCCCTGTTTCAACTTCCTAAGAGCCTGCTTTCGAGCCTGCCTAGTTTCAAGAAAAAGCCTGGCAAGTGCTTGATCCTATGCTTTTGCAGTCGCTGCTCCAACTCACATGTTCACAAAACAACACCCATAGCATCTCAAAACTCCATCCCCATGCCGTGCTTCCCTCAAAAACCACGATCTCCAAACGCCAATACCCGTCCGGCTTGAACCACCTCACCGTGATCTGTCGAGCATCCAACAAGGCGTTCTTGTCGAAGCCTGCGGCAATCCCCACTGGGCTCTCCTGAGGAAACCGAGTCCGCACGGAGACCCTAGGATGCGAGTCCGGTCTCGGGGAGGATGCGGTCCACAGTCGAAAAGGTTGGGAATTGGAAAACGAACAGGATGAGATTGTCTCAAGTGGAAAAAGCATTGTGAACGAATCCTTTTTCTCCTTGTCCATTCTGGAACCATCCATGGTGGGTGAAACAAATCCATGCTTCCTTGTCCGAACGGGAGGGGTTACCGCACATAGACCTTCCAGGAGGCCGTGAAGAAGTGCTGAGTGCCCCGGCGAAGGTTAACCCCCAGACTTGCTGGGAGAGCTCGGGGCCCTGCAGGCGCCCCTCAGGAGGGCTTAGCAACCACTCCTCGTGGCGAAACAACGAGAGGCAGAATGGGGGGGGGCCCCTCGGCTGTTGAGAGGCTGAGGCGACGTCATTGGGTCAGGAAAGGGGTCGAAAGATCCAGTAGGTAAAAATTGGTTGCGCCCTGGCGTGCTAAAGAATTGTTCGACGTCGGTTCACCTGCATCTCAATTCTTGTTATGTCCTGAATCCAAAAACAAATCTACTACAAACCAACCCCACCAACCCCACCAACCCCAACAGAATTCTACCACATGCCATCACGTGCCGTGCCCCCGCAGTCTCCCCGTGCCCCCTCATGTCTCCCTTCCCAGCACTCCATCGGCAAAGAAGGCCAAAGCGAGCGGAAGGCCTGTGCGGAGGGCCACCCTGGCCCAATGGAGGCTGCTCACAGACGGATGTGATCCATCGGTGGTTTCATGGGATTCACGTGGAACCACCGGAGTCCTTTTCTTTTCACGTGGAGAAAGACACCATGCCCTGAAGAAGGACCTTTTTCCCTGCTTTGGGGGAGCATTGAAGCGGACATGGTTACCCTGCTTGAAGTGGAGAGGCCTTTGAAGGCCATCAAGAAACGGCTCAAGACTTCACGGTCGTTGGTCCTTTGTCCTTTACCAGGGTGCAGGGAGGCAATGGATGATTGGTCACGTGTCACGCGTCCGTTTCTGGGATGGTGTCCTTGCTCTTCCCGGATGACACTCTCCCGGATGCCTTTTAAGGTTGATGGGTTACGCAGCTATTTTGGATGCTATGCTTGATCAATATAAGTTAAAATATATTCCACCCCCATGGAGTGTTGGGGCGAAACACACAACAAACTCTCACATACTCACAAGAGTTCATTCCACATCTTTGAGCAAAGAATTGGTCGTCTCCAATCCATGGCCTTCCAGGTAGTCTTCCTGAAGTAGTAAATAGAAGACAGACTTTTAAATACGATGGTGTTATATATACATATATTGTTTAATAGTCTATTTTGAGGGAAAAGAACTGGGACCATCCATGCCAGGGGTGTCCGAGATCCCAAATCGTTGATGGATTTTGAGACCCGTGTGACCGTTTGGATGATCGATGGAAGATGGAGGTTGTGGAGATCCTGATTTTTTTAGACACTCCATGGGAGGCATATTGACCGGATGCCACCTCGACTGGGATGGTTTCATGTTTGTGTCGATGTAGGCATGTTGTGTATATTGCACATTCCACGTGGAATGTTTGGGTAAGACCCAACAGACCAACCGATGTATATACAAAGGACCTCCCTGCTCCGCTGAACTTCTCTTTTCAGATTGCCTAGCAGCAAGCCTTGGCGGCCCCGGCCTGAAGTGCTTCCCCACACTTCAAGGTGAGGTTGTGGGCAGTCTCCGGGTCTGTTTGCCTGGCACCATCTGTTGCATCACAGGGACCATCATCCACAAAACCATGGAACGTCACCCAACCAATGCCCATACCACCACAGCCCTCTGTGACCTCTACGATCGGCTGTTGTTGGACCAACTCCCAGATCCCGAACTTCCGCCTTCACTCGTCACCAGTACCCCCGCGTGGAATCAGAAGTGCCGTGAACGCACACTTATACAGCAAAATAAAAACCACCGGCCCATGGCTCTCTGAGCTCAAGAAGGTCATAGCATGACCAGTCGCCCTCGATCTCTTCTTTGAAAGCACCCGTGTGCGTATATACGTACAACACGTACTTGCCTCAGCTGCCAGCATAGCTGCCAGATGCTGCCAGCATCCCTCTCGTTGCTAGCTGCTGTAAATGCCCCAAACATGGCAGGTGCACAAGACCACCGGTAAAGCCTCAGCTCTTCATGGCATTGCTTCACGCCAAAACATCCTCCCCCTTGAGTCTGACTGAACCCCATTGGGTCTTCGCTAACAAACTGGCCCTCACTGACACCTCACACGGAGGGCTCGAGGGCCAATGCTCTCTCCTTTCAGTCAGGTGGAATTGAAAGGCCATCGGTATGTTCAGGCTCACAACAAGGGGGGTAGATGCCCTGGCTTTGACCGTGAAACGTTTCTGGGGACAGATCGCATCTTGGGGCGCACGTGGCCGCATAGCCCCTCTCAGCCGAGTTCCTCCCTGGGCCACTGTGGCGTTTTTTGACCCGTTCATTTGGAGAGCCATGTTCCACTCTTTACGGGTGCTCAGGAGGTGCCAAAAAAAATCAAAAAATATGTTTAAAAAAATCAGCTCAGAGATCCTCATAAAGGCACATGCACAATAAGACGCCATTGAAGCACGTGGCTCGGGCCTCATCCGCTTCATGCATGTAAAAATTTATCGATGCTCCAGCCCCCCTTTTCCTTCCAGCCACTAAAGAACAAGGAAAACAAAAAATAACCACAGGCAAACAAAATAATGGACGAACTAGGGTGGAGTCGAACCACCAAAGTTTGTGGACAAAGCGAATTCTCCGCTTCGCGACACAATGCGATACCCATTAGGCAACTGGCTCCTCTGGTTTTAATTTGGCCGAACTTCATGCCGCGCGTGTGCGAGATTTGGATCTGTATCAAGGCGGCTGTCCACCAAGGCTCCAAGGAAATGAGAGCTAAGGGCTAGTGGCCAAGCCATACCTGCTCTTACCATACCTTCGTAGCAGAAAGATCGACGCACCCAAGTGCCCAAGCTGTGAAGCCTTTGCTTCATCGGTGTCAGCTCCAGCTTCCGGCAGACGCCGCGCGCAACTTCCAAGCAGTGCGAGAGACTCGTTTCCTCTCTGCCTTCCGCATCTCTTTGAAGCGTCGGGACTCACCGCTACCAGGTGGCAGGTGGCACACTCTGAACAGGTCGGGGCACCACCGTTGGTCATCTCATCTCCTGTGTCACCTTCATGTGAGCCAATGTCTGGAAGTGGCACTTCAGTGTGAGCGCTGATGTATGTAAAGAGTGGATGCACCATCAAAGGCCCATGTTGTTGCCCATGGAAATTGCCCTGAGTGAGGAAGCCTACCGCTGGCAAATCTGGCTGGAGGCAAAGCGCGCGTTCATATTCCCCTTTCACGGTTCCTTTCTCGGAGTCGTTTCACCGGTCCCTCTGGTTGTTGTGTTGAGCCGTGACTCCAGGGAAGCTGAGAGCATCGCAGCGATTGTGCTGCACCAGATAGACATCATGCGGGAAAAGTCGGGCAGAATGAGAATCCTTGCTACCTGGCTACTGATATGTCAATCAACTTGTGTAAGTCTGTAGGCGTGCACATGTGTCTGGCATCTCTTCGGAGGCTGCTGGCCCACCGAAAAAAGGGACGCCTGATCGTAACTTCAAACATGATAAATCAATATAAATCATAAATCGAGGATTTTGCTCTCTTTGGCAGGGTCAATTTGAGAAAATGACAAGTTGGAATTCCGGATCTCCGGCCCAGATTCTGAGAATGCATCCAAATCCGGTGATGGGACCCAGATCCAGTACGCCGTTGGCTTGACAGGTTCGCCAGATCTATGTCACTCTGCATCCAATGAGAATTACGCTTCTCCTCCAAACGGGCCCAACACCAAAGGACTCTACCACCCAAAGCATCCAACTTGGCCCAGATTGCTCGGTCCAAGCTGCAAAGTCTGTATAGAGCCTGGTGCTCATCGATTGGGACCTTCAGGGCGGTCCCAAACCGAACAACTGAACGTCCCTGGCGACCATTGGATCGGTGACCTTTCCTCAAACCACAGACAAATGCACCAAGGACCCGAATCCATGTGCCAGCAGCTTGATCATCTCCAAGATGGGGACTCGAAAAGATCCAAGTTGATCCAAATATCCACCGGACTCCACCCCCCTCTTTCGGGCCCGCTCTTGTGGCCCGAGGAGATCGTTCATCCAACTAGATGATTTGTAGACCCCTCTGTTCGACCGGATGTTCCAAGCTCTCCCGTTCAAAAGATATCGAACCTTAATCATGATATAGACATATATTATATACACCTGCCATATAATAATCATGGAAGTTGATGGCACCACCTGTTTGGTATTCAGAAAATGGTCCTCCTTTCGGGGGCATGCCATCCATTTCCATGTTTATTTTCAGGGCACGTACACCTACCCATACACCCCTGGAAAATGCAATGGTCATGGCATGGCTGTCCCGCTCACCCGTTGATGTTCGACGTGTCCACCGTCGACCAGTCTGACAACCATCAATGCAACAACCCATCTCATCGGCACTACCTTCAGCGAACTTGGCCAAGGAGCCATGCCATCTGATGATCTTCGGTCTTTGGGAGGCGCTGCACATAGCCCTGGCGCGGTTCTCCGCTTCTGCCCGGATCGCGCGCCGGATCGCGCGGACCAAAACATCCCTCCCGCGGTGGTTGAACGGGTGCATTGGTGCATCCCCATGGTGCTCGTTCGGTCCAGATCGAGGGTTACACCGAAAACCCCCCAGGATCCGAGAGGGAATGCTGCTGAAGAAAAGACTCCTCCAAAACTCACATGGTCCCTGCCTCGTAGGGCAAAACAACACATCAAATCGTCAACCTGATGGGGGGCCATGATGGGATTGCCAAAAGCACAATAAGTGTCAGAATCTCTAAAAAGGCAAGCTGCCTGGTTGGAAAACATCAATGCACAATAATAAGTTGTCTTTTGGACCTCCCCTTGTGGACTTCGGGGGTTCCTCCCAGCTGAAAAGGATGGCACGGAGGCACCGGAGCGGTCCGAACTCCTGGACGAGAGGGATTTCAAGCTTTAATTAGAATTGTAATTACTAGCTGCTTGTTACTACTAGTAAGGCACCTGTTAGTAGTAGTAAGGCACTTGTTCCTACTAGCAAAGGAATCTACTCCCAGGGATTTCAAGCTTTCACCCCCAGGTGTCTGGACGTTTCCCATCTTCCCCAAGCAGGCCGGTGTGACCACTCCTAGAGCTGCACCTCCTGTTGCACGCCGCACTGAACCACGGCCCCCACTCATGCCGGTGTTTGTGGAGAGCACCTTCATGTGCACGGATAGCAAGAAGGAGAACTTAGGCGTTGCGAAGGGTGTTCGGGTGTTCTTTCCGTCCTTTTTGGACCGCTGACGGTTGACCTGGGATGCGCTTCGGTCGGCTGAGTGCCTGAGCCTGTCAAGCTATGTCACCCTGAAAACGAGAGAATGGACATCCAGAGAATGGGCTCTGACTGGGCAACTGTTTTAGTTGCAGTTCGCTGACGCCACACCCGAGCGCACCGGCGCACGGTGTCCACACCGCGCCTACAGCGCTCACGCCCTTGAAAAGCCGGCGACCTCAACGGTCACAAGGGTCGGAAGGAGAGAACGGCAACATGCTGGATCAAGGAGCCAGACCCGCACATAGACCCCCTTGGATTTGGATGGGCGTTCTAAACGGGTTCATTTCTACCAGTATCACAGCCTTGAGAGCGTAGATTCTGGGTGACATGTCAAACCAAGGCGTTGCAATGCCACCACGTTGCACTCGTAGGTTCCAACGTGTGACCATCTGCGATGAGTTTCACCAAGTGTCCTGATCAAACACGTGTCACTGCCCAAAAACTCCTCGTAAGGACAATCCTGTCATCCTTCCAACGAGTCCAAATCCCTACCAGCTGTGACATGCTGTGACTGTCACCATGACTAGCCCAGCTTTTGAGTGGACCTCACACCAACTAAGCTGCCAGTAGACCCTCGAGACCCTTACAAGGAGCTTTATGATGTCAGAGGAAAGGACTAGACATAACGCGTATGCGAATGGTCACTATACCGCTATACCACCCGGTGTATTATTCCATGACTCAGTAGTAACAGGTGGATGATGGTGGTTAGTAGTAAAGGCCTTTCCCCCAAAAGACGTGATAGTGATAATCTTTTACCGATTCTAGTGGGACACTCAGTATCTCTACCTCTCAGAAAAAGGGACAAGACATGATGCGATTCACACTTCTTGGGAGCGCTCCAGCTCTCGCATCTCAGCACCCAGCGCGCGCTCATTGCCGTGATCCAAACAATTAACGGAGAGACGCGCAAAGACGTGGGAACACGAGCAAAAGCAGAGTTATGACGTAGATGGAACTCACAGTGGAATTTAGAGTGCAACTTGGTGTTAAATCTCTGATGGATTCATCATGTTTCATCTGCGACATAACTTTTAGAATGCAGTGGAATTGTTGTTGCGAGATCTTTGTTCTTGTAGTGTAGGAGTTCATCCATGGAATTCCATGAACCATGGAGGGACATTGCTACCCTTATGTTGCTGCACGCTTCAATCTGCAGATGAAACCTCCTACAATTGCAAAAGAGATTATATACTTATTATAGGCTATGGCCGATGGCCAGTGCAGAAAAGATGTGAAGAAAAAGGAACACTGCACTGCTTGACTTGTCTGGACCAACCTGACCCAAGACGTGCTACCCCAGATGTGATCGAAGCACTGCGGCCGAGCGGCCGAAGCGCGGAACCCGGACAAAGACATGGATTCCCCAGAAGAGCGTTCACATGAATTCCATAGGGATACAATTCACGCATAGAAATACATATCAGAATCCACCCTTTTTTCCAAATCCAGGACCCGGTTCCCTCACTTCTGCGGTGGCGACTCGCACCGCGAAGTAGGTCGGCAGTGAAGCCAGGTCGGCAGTGAACGTCTGGTCTCGGTATGTGAAGGGAGCCACGCCGCCACGCTGTTTCCAGCGAAAAAACGGAGGCGCCACACAACAACCAGAAGATGGTGGGGATGCCGCAGCAAAAAAGGTATCGGCGGAAGAGACTTGATCCTCCCAATGGCCCAAAGCATCCCTAATGGACGGCGCCAGCTCCTTCTATTTGCTGGCTACCCTTGTCACGGGTCAAAGAATTAGCACCCCTAAACTAACTCTCTGAAAACCACAGCAGGGCTGTAAGGGGTAATAGGTCGCTTCTGTCAAAACCACTTCCACTCATTGAATTCAAGAAATCTAGGAAAAATCAGCCAATAGTCAAAACACATTCATAGCCAAACACTCCATGTGCGGAAAACAAAGCGCCTACATTCGCCCCTGAAACCAGCCCAATGTAGGCCGTAGGCAAAGATGCCCCCATCAGTCGTGTCTGGGATATTTGGATATCGCCAACCTTTGTCCTTCCAGCTCCCCACCTGCAAAAACCACACGAGGCCATCTCTAAACCACCGGTGCCTCCCTTTTGCGTCGATCCTCAGAAGCGGGGGTCGTTCGATCTGGGCCAAGCTCCCAGCATTCGCTGGGCCGGCGCCGGACGCAGGGCCCGGTGGGGGGAGGTCTCAGAGAGGCAGCGACGCTCTGCACTGGAAGCCCTGAGCCGTAACCAGACCAGGTAGAATGGGGTAGGGCACCTAACCATGGTCACTGGGCCCCGAAACCCGAAAGTTGCAGAGAAGAATGAGTGCTGGCTGCTTGAAGTTGCGATCCACTGACAAGAATCGTTTAGAATCTTAGAAGACTCTTTCTGTCACGTTTGATCGCTGTTTGAGGGCTCCCTTTGCTGGTGATCTGTTCCACGCACCGTGGCCCAACAACTCCCTGGACCTCCCATTCTCTTGCAGCGAAAAAAGCACCGCAGGCACTTGAACTGCGCAGCACCGCTCTCTGCGGCACAGGCGCGGAGTGCAGTGGGACAGCTGTGGACCTCCTTCATTGGAAGACTATGTAATAAATACTACAAAATCGTCTTTTCAGTAAGAAATTGCTTCTTTTGAGGGCTCTTTAACATCCTCCAACTATACCTACAAAGAGGGAACTTGGGGGGTTGAAGCCTTTCCGCATACTTGGGAGGCTCTCAAAACTGCAACAGTCTCTCTTAGATCAAATTTGGGCCTTATCCGAAGACACGTCTTCAACAGGATTCCTGACACTCCTTCAAAAATGAGGTGATCATGTTTTCTTTATAGCCAGCGATCTCAAACAGAGATTAGCTTTGGCATGCTCTGGCAGTTCCTGCATCACATATATAGATATACTGCAAAAAGGAGTTGTGCATCATCCAGCACCTGCTGCTTCTACATGTGTCCCACTTCAATGAGCTTGTGAAACTGGAGCTGCGAACCGAGAGCCCTTAGGCCGAATTTCCACGAACAGTTCACTGAGTCGGTTGGGCTCTTGATGGGAGGACAACTGGTAACAGAAGCCAGCTGGCTCCACACTCCCTGAAGCTAGTAGTAACAAGTGCCACGCTAGTAGTAACAGGTGCCTTACTAGTAGTAACAAGAAGCTAGTAGTAACAGGAAAAATCATGGAAGTGGAAACTCCGGTCCTGCAAGACCAAAGCCTTTCACTTCCATGCTTTCCACGGACCAAAGCCTCCGGCCAATCCCCCCCTGCCCAAATGCGTGGCGCGAAACCTCGAGGTCGAGCGAAACCTCGGCCCTGGCAAAGAAGAACCAGGAAGAGACGTCATAGAAAGAGGGTTTACATGGTTTTACAATCCATGTCTGGGGGGCTTTACGAATCAAGAGTCTACATGATCAATGGAGTGACTTTGGTGATGACAGATGACATTGCTGTGGATCTCCAGTAGTTGGATCTCCAATGGGATTACTGTATATGCATGTACGCTCAGACCAAATCTTCGGATGTGGAGTCACAGCTTAAAAGGACCGCTACTTGAAAAGCCTACATTATGTGACTCACTTCCAGCATCTGATTGATGAACATCCGCTTGACTCTTGTCACCAGAGACTGAAGGGGATTCTTCTGTGACCCTCTCTGACCCCTCAAATGGCTACCAAAAATCGGCGCGCGGTGTCGCCCATCCAACTCATGGAGCTGTGCATAGCTCACACCCCACTCAGTTGTTGTTCTCGTCCATCCACCGCACTCGCCGGCCATCCGTCCATTCACCTGGAAGCACAGACCGACCCCCCCCCCCCCTCTGTCCGCGGTCGGCCCGCGGTCTGCCAGTGGACGGATCTCGGAGTTCACCCAAGCAAAAGAACACCAAAGCGTCGCAAGACCAACACCTCCCGACGAGGTCCGCGGAAGAATCTGGTCTTCAAAAGAAAAACCGACTGTGGTGAAGCGCTGGTCCTCTCTTGTGACTCTTGTGCAATTCAGAAGGGCACATGTACCTGCATGTACCTGCATGCACCGTCATGTACCAAGTCATGTACCAATATTCGATGGGTTTTCACTCGGAAGTTGCAACATGTTCCAACCATGTCATCAAACCCATGCTCCTGGCCTGGCCCCTGAGCCACCCCACACAACGCCAAACGTCCGACTTCCCGTGTCGATCGGCCCCCGCGTCCAGACCGGCCTTTTCGTTCTTCTCCAGACGCCGTGACCTGAAATGGCGGTCGGGGATGGAAGCGGCGAAGCGTCTGCCTGCATTCTGACAGAACATTCAGAGAAGCTGATTACAGCTGTAGTGCCCAAAATAGACAACATGCAACGATGTCGTGATGAGGTGATGTTCTTCGATTTCTTTGTTCCATCATGGTGAATCTATCTGGTGGGCTCCCCATACCAGGATCATGTCTTCGCAAAGTAGAGATGAGTTTCCACGACGCCTTTTCAAGATGAAGTCGCGCAGCCTTTGCCACGACATCCCGAAGTCCCCCCGGATCTCTTCGCCTGAACATGCAGTTAGAAAAAAGTTGAAAAATAAGAGGAACAATTGGAACAAGGATGAACAAGAGTCTACATCAATGGTTCCAATTGGCAGGAAGCAAGGCCGCAGGCGGCCCGCAGGTGACTCCATTTCAGGATAGGAAGCCTCACTGGTGGATCCGTCTCCCGTCACTCGGGACCCGTCTCCCGTCTCCCGATGCCGGGTCACGTAGGTACCGACGCCGTGCTGCTTTCCTTCCTTCCTGGGCGTCCACGAAAGGGAGCATCGTCTGCATCGTCTGCAACGTTGAAGTCTCTTGAATTCGATCCATTGCAATTGTATATGCAGTATAAGATATACCAGGAGACCTTAAGGAGTGCCAATTGGTGGTAAGGGGTGTCTGCTTAGGGTCCAAACAACACCCCTTGGGGTCTCCTGGTATATATCGTGTACATTCATATGCTGTATATTACAGCATATAGTGTGTTTTGAGACAACCACCTTCGTCATACCTTCGGAATCTGAGAAAAAAACCTGCCAAGTTCGCTTCCAGAGTGCTGTGAGTCCACAAGTCGGTCATGTCGGTCATGGATGTGTCGTCATGGTTCCCAGTGCGACGCGTGCCATGACCCCCAACTCAACTGTTGACAAGATCAATTAGTAGAGGTCAATCATGGTCAATCGATTCGATATCGTGTCCAGCTGCAGTGTAAGAGGGGGAGTCAATGTTTTTCTTCTAATGGTTGTCTTGTCTATCTGGTAAATTTAGGGGTCACCTGGTCGCCCTAAATTCTCAAAATAAACTTCACACCGGTCACGCCCCCACTCCGCATGTTCTCTTCTGGGCTTCCCTGCCAATCTCCGACGTACTTCCTGCCGTCGGGCCAATTGAACCTCGGTTCCCCCGAAACAAAAACTGCGCCGCAGGAACCAACGGATTCTGGGCATACAGCGTGTTCAACCCCAGGAACCATCCCCAACGCCATGATGCGCGCGAGTGTTTGGACGAAGCAAGGATGTTTGGACATGTTTGGACGACAGAAGGGTTTGTGCAAGTAAAATCATCCCGTGTCATCCGCTTTCAGCGGCTGTGTCTGTTTGGCGGACCCATCTGAATTCACGATGTGTTTGGCGGTGAATACTTGCCCCATGTAAGAACACACAAGAATCAAACTGTTCGATCCAGCGAGCGAGCGGGAGGGACATGTGAAGACTATGGAAAGATGAAGCCGTTGGAACTGTGAACCGTTTCTCAGCTACAGCTACAGGTAACTGCAACTATAAAGTTGAGTTAAATTCTAACCCAACTATTCTACGTACCTTTATGGTGGACTCCTTTATTAATAGTCACCTAAGGATATCTAAGGGGTGTTCTTCCAGTGCAACTATATATATAATCATCCTCGAGTAGATAGAATACGGAATTGAGCCGCCAACGTACCTTCCGTCATTTCAATTTCATATTCTAAGTACCTCGTTTTGACCCCC